AGTAGGGCGGTTTGATTGATGTAAAAATCATGTGGTGGGAAATGGGAATTGAACGACATCATAAGACTTAATTTTTTTTCTTTGATCACATTATTGAGTGGACAGAAGCAGCATCTATCTCGTATTGTTGAAGTAATGGGAAAAACGTAACGAGTGAACCAATAAAAATTAACATCAAAGAATACATGCTTTTTTTTACACATTTTGTCAAATTTAAGCCTATTTTGCTCTAAGGCATTTTGTAACGTCTGAAGGAATTTAATTCATCATAGATACTATTTCGACTTCGCATGAGTTGAGGTCTATAACGCATATATTAACTTTGTTCTTGATTACCCTCCTTCTGTTTAACAGTGACTACATGGTCAATGATGTTCCTTAGTATGTATAATTCGCGGAGTTATCATGAAGCTTTCGAAACACATCTAATTCAGCAGTGGACTTATTCATCGATTAATATCACGCAGAAATTGCAAAAGACCTCTACCGACTGCAAGTAGAGAACATTTTGTTTGAAAAATTTCGAATTTTTGCATTTTTTGCAAAATTATCGATTTTCTAACTCACATATCTCAAAGGCAGACCAATAAAACCAAATATTCTTTTACTAATAGATAGCTTGTGAGGTTACCTACAAATAATGTCTCGGGAGTTTTTCAGTCTCATGCTTCCTTTATTTTCTGTGATCGTTCTACAAATGGGTCATATATGACCCATTGGGGGGGAGGGGGGAGGGGGGAGGGGGCTAAAGGTTAAGATGAACCAAAGAGACTTCTGAAGGTCTCTGATTTAGTGACTGTAACCTCTTACGAATATTATTCGATTACTTAAGGTTGTTTACTACATAGCTGTGAATGTATCAAGTCTCTGAATGTTCGAAGTTTAGCAGATGAAGTTGTGAATGCAGATGCCAGGAAGCACGAATAGGCATAGCAATGTGGATGTGAACGCATGACTGCATCACAGCCGCTAATCATGAGTATTGTTGACTTGAGTTTATTCATCTTGAACCATTTTTTGAAAAGTCTCATTCTGTTGATTTTTAGCGCGCTGATCTAATCGTGACGCGTGAAGAAAGGGGGTTTCTGTATTTTCTTCATATCTTCTCTAGTTTTTATGGATCCAGATAAAACTTTCCTAAAAAGATTTACTATCTGATTGTGCACGGAGTCATGAAAAGATATTTCTCATAAAAATAAAAGATAAACGACTTTAATTTTGTAATATTACAGACATCATATGAAAACCACTTGCAAAAGCATTCCCAGGGGACCGGTCAGAATGAAGAACTTCGCAGTATTTCATCAACATCTCTGTTGTTTTTGATAGTTATGTATTCCATACTTTCGAAACGGCTTCGCGTTTAAGTTTCAATGAAAAGATTGATTGATATGTACCATAGATATAAAAAACAACCCAATACCTATGACAGAAATCTGTCAGACTTACAGCATTAGTTTTTAGACAAAAAAGTACATTTGTCACGCATTTATGCACATTTATGTTGAAGTGTGTAGTGAAGTTTAGGCAAATGGTACTTTCGTTTCTTGCAGAGCTTCAAATGCTCTATTATATTATAATAGCTTGTTAAAAAGTTCACTTAATGACGAATTCATTACAAAAATTATAAGTGATAGTTAAGCGTTCTTTATCTCAAATGAAAAGCGAAAATTTTCTCTGAAACCATGAAGTAATCCTTATTTTTATTAATTACGTTGCGCTATGAAAGTTGTAGAGAATACTGAGAAGATAGCACTTTTGAACCTTTACAGAAACTTGTTAATTCAGTTTTTCAGAGTATAAAATGTGAAATTCACGTATCTCAAACTTCATTATTCTGACTTGATTGTAAATATTAGATTAAATTACTAATACGACTTATAAATACTCACTAGATAATCTCGGCTACTAAGGTCTATATTATGAGCATTGCTCGCTTTGATCTGCACTGGGACGAAGAAGACGACTGGAGCAACTTGACTTGAAATGTTCATTGATTATTTTGTTCGAAAACTTATGCTAGTGTCACAAAATGCAGTGCAATTTATTTATCTAGATTGATGTGACAGCGCATGAACACAATCAAGTCGCATTTCGAGTTTTGAAGTTACTGGTACTCAATGTTCCTATCATTACCACAGTAACACTTTTTGCCTTTATTCCTGTGACATCCACATGCATGCAATATCGTGGATGATCAAATGTTGCATAGTAAAGAAAATACTCAGTCTACATCTATGAAAACTAGACAAGATGCAGCGAAAATGTGGAGGTTCTCATTCATTGTAAGCCATCCTTCTGTCTCAACAAAATAGGGTCGAATTCATGTTCTCTACCTCCCCCTTAAAAAACAAATGTTTGACTACGGCAGAACGTCGAACAACCGCCTCCTCAGTTGATAAATGTGATATCGATATACCATCGATCAGATTTTGAGTAAACTAATCAAAAATATCCACTTTTCAAGCTATCTTCTCAGAATTGAGAATAATTTTATGCGACTATTTAACAATCTGAATCATAGAAACATGCTTTTGATCATATCGACAAAAATAAATAGCTAAATACAGGGAAGAAGCTGGATATAAATGGCATTATACTTTAAGACCAGTAGTTGAATAAATTGATGTAGCAGAAGTAAAACAGCAACTTATACTACATACCCAAACCCAAACTCAAACCCAAACCCAAACCCAAACTCAAATACCCAAACCCAAACCCAAACCCAAACTCAATACCCAAACCCAAACCCAAACCCAAACTCATAAACCCAAACCCAAACCCAAACCCAAACTCATTACCCAAACCCAAACTCCCAAACAGTTTGGGTTTGGGTTTGGGTTTGGTGCATGCCTAGGCATATGAACCAAAAGTTGTGATTTTTCAGAACTATCTGTGTCACTTATGCACCTTTCAATGCGTTTCTTCTTTTGATTACTTATCGACAAAGGTTTGCCTACCCTTTTTCTACTACGACAATTACCTACGAGTGCAATACTAATAAAAGACACATTCCAAATATCCTTGAGTACTAAATTGGTCAAATTGGAGGCTTCGATATGAATAACTTATGCTAACTCGATGTTCGGACGTACACATAGACATTGCGTACCGTATGTATAGCAGATAATTCTATCGTTGTGAATTGACGTAAATAAAACAAATCAATTTAATCTTTTGCAAAATACTGACCTATCAAAGTGGCTCAGATATATTTCATGGATATAAGTTTCCAAGAAAAGGAAAATAAACGAAAAATTTTGAAAATCCAAGTTATAGTCCTCAAAATCTTTTTTGGACTAAAGAAACTTGGCATAGTGCACACTTCAATGTCCTCCATACATCCTATCATCCATGCAATCTTGTACAGACTTCTGCTAGCTTCTAAAATTTACTGTAAATATTTCTCCAAGATACTGAAAAACTCGAAGATTTGAAAATTCTCAAGGTGGGAAGTATGCTTCTCACCAGGACTCAAAGGGTTAATTTATAATTCACTTAAAAAATTCAATTTGTAATTTGACGAATCGTAAATTAAGTGGAAATAATTTATATTTAAAATCTGCTTAATTTGTTAGTTTAAATCTAAAATAAATAATTTATGTTTAAGAATAATTACATTTCAGGCAATCCAAACGCAGTGGCGGAGATGCTTGATTTTTGTGTAGAAATCTTGAAGAAATTTTTCATTTTTTTTATGTAGTGTATAGAAAAAACAACGCTGCATTTTTGTGCGCTATTTGATCACGCTTCAATTAATATCGTAATACTAAAATTTCGATGAGAACTGTTTTTGTGTAAAATTTGACTATAACATTGGATCATATTATCGCCATGTGGATTTTGTGTGTTTTTTCTTTATTCTTCTCTTTTTCTTTCATCGTTTTTTCCTGTTTCGTTTAATGCCTAGTCGTTGATACATATTAGAGTGTACAGAAAGTAATGATGGTAGAGCAGAAAAGAAATGCAGAAACAACTGCAGGAAGTTTTTTTGTCACCTGATGTTCAAATAGTCACCTTGGCTATTCACACACAACTGCATTTGTTGACCCCATTTATGAAAGATTTGTCTAGGAACAATGTTATAGGTTAGCCTAACATTTTTTTGACTTTCGTATCAACTGGTCGAAAAAAATCGACTAAAAGTCTAATTCGGAAGAATAGTATCGTTGGAAAGAACTCGAAAAACTGACGAGGAAACATCGCTAACTGTCCAATCCCTTTTAAGTTCAGACTTTGCGCAAAAGATAGACCCCGTGAGTCATGAAAAACCCCAAAAGATTAAATCCCCTTAGGCCTTCTATCCAAAGTTATAGGCATTTTACTGGAATTTTAGCCTATGGAATGGTATATACCAATAAACTGAATGACGGTATTTCGACCTGAGATTTTGCCCACAGGCAGGTCTATTTATGAGTAGAATACCCTGAAAATTTTCGCTGACAAGAGTGTTTTCTTCCCGAGATATTTAAGTCTCGAAAAACAGAAAATTTTAGCATCTTTTATAGTATATGAGTCATTTTTGGGACTTAAATATCTCGGGAAGAAAACATTCTTTTCAGCTGAAATTTTCAGAGTATTCTACTCATAGATAGAACTGCCTGTGGGCAAAATCTCAGGTCGAAATACCGTCATTCGATTTATTGATATATACCATGCCATAGGCTAAAATTCCAGTAAAACGTCTATAACTTTGGACAGAAGGCCTAAGGTGATTTAATCTTTTGGGATTTTTCATAACTCACGGGGGTCTATCTTTTGCACAAAGTGTGAACTCAAAAGAGATTGGACAGTTGGCGATGTTCCTTCGTTTGATAGTCACAGCCAAAGCCACATCCATACCCACACGTACGACAACCCTAAAAGTTAAGCCAGTTTAAGAATAATGCTCTCATTGATAATTTCTTGTCCTGCTTGTTTTTCACATATATTCTCAAACTAACAGATAAATCAGAATAAATCAGCCATCGGTATTTTCTCCATAATGTTGGTAAAAAAAGATGCTACACTTCGGCGCTACACGTAAACTCAAATGTTCTTTATAGTGTAATTAGCTTAGAACATCTGCTTGCATAGCAGAAGACGTGCTGTACGAATTTTAAGCTAGATCTCTTTTTCTTCATGCCATTCATTCATATGTTTCGCTACGCTGAAACTCGTTATGACTTAAAATTGGTGCTAACACATATCTCTGTCAGTTGTCATTGTATTGCAATGAGTTTCTCCCAAAAGAATTCAGCATAGAATTCCCTATAAAGCCTTACAGAAATCCTTAGGTCACAGATGCCAGGAAGGGTGTGGGTGTGGGTGGATGTGGGTGTGGGGTGTCGGTGTGGGTGTGCGGGAGTGTGGGTGTGGGTGTGGGTGTCGGTGTGGGTGTGGGTGGGTGTGGATACGCATGCACCAAACCCAAACCGTTTGAGTTTGGTGAGTTTGCGTTTGGGTTTGAATAATCAGTGTGGCTTTCAGTTCCAGTTTGCTATATCAACTCACTGCACTACTGGACTTTATAGATACTGCCATTTGTGTCAAGTCTCGTCTCTATATTTAATTATTTATTCGGTATAAATATCAGCAAAAGCATATTTGGGTGGGTGTGGATGTCGGTGTGTGGGTGAGTGTGGATGGGTGTGGATGTTCTCATTACCCTCACCCACACCCACCCACCCTTTCCACACTCACACCTTTGAGTGAAGTCTTTTTGCGGCGCTAAGACATTTTGATGGGTTGCTCTATATGATCTTGTCTTTCCCATGCATGTTGATGCTATTCTCAACCATCCAAATGTGATGTGATACTCTTCGAGGATATGTATTCGAATG